CTTTTTGCATTTCAGTGAAGAACCGCTATCTACCTTCCAAAGGTTAGCTATTAGAGTGTTTTCATGGCCTAGGGCCTAACACTTTTCTTTGTGATAGATAGATTAGCTAGCTAGCTGTAGTATTACATTATACCAAGGTTTGGGTGTGTGTCATTGAAAATTAACATGTGTTTATACTACATTAAGTTCACCACTAAAAGTCTAATTGTATCTGTGACCATATATTTATACCCCTTTACCCTGTTTACCTATCTACCCCCTCAGGAAATCTTTATTACACTTTGACATTGCTTTCATTCAGTAACTAAGCAACTTTTGAACATCTGTTCTCACAGGGCACTTAGATAGCTGCTGGAGTTAATAGAGGCAAATGCAACAGATTTGATCCTTTTTCTCATTGAACTTCCAGCTTGGTAAGGGAAAAAAAACAAAACATTTAATTGTACAAGTAATTAATAATTACACTTGTGATAAGTGACATACAACAAAGTCAAGTCTGCTCTGAAAGTGTAGTAGGAGTCAAGCATAGTTTTGGTGTTATAATACTGACATCTTGACTAGCGTTTTATAGTCAGTAAGTAAGTGTTGGTATCTTCATAGGGTTGTGTTGTGATCTTACTTAATTCAGTCATTAATTTTCTTAGTTTCTCCGTGGTTTTGTTTCTTACACAGTTTTGAGAGGAGAAACGAAAATTTAAGGTAATAAATGATATAGCAGAGTAAATCTTAATCTTTAATATTGTCTTCTCTTAGCACCAGCGTTCAAGACTTTTACTTATTTATTTTTTTAAAGATTTATTTATTCATACAGAACTGAGGTACAGGCCAGAGATGCGAGGGTGAGAGGATTCACCAGAGACAGAGTGGGGAGCAGAACTGGCAGATTGACGAAGTACACTGAGGGGAGCAGCGGGCGGGTCAGGAGAGGTCTACTGTGCCATGTGGTCACCTCCGGGGCAGGCAGGAATTGAACTCATGGGGAAGTGGCTTAAGCTTCTTAGTGCAGTGCTTTAACCCGCTGCGCCACCAGGGAGGGCCGACTTTTACTTATTTTTATATATAAAATATTCATAAATATTTTACATCATTGTTCATTTTAAAACAGTGTTTACTCCCCCTCCCCCATGTGTAGACCCCATCGAATTCCTCCCCCAATTCGCTCTTGTGCCATCACCACAGTCCCCTGTGTTCCTCCCTTGCTCCTTCTAGTTCCTCCCTCTCTCCCTCCCCTGCAGGGTGTTTTCTGGTTTATAATTGTTTTTGTTTTGTTTTGTTATCATTATTTTTCCCTCTTGTGTCTTAATTTGGTTCCCCTATATTCCTCCTATAAGTGAAACCAACCGATGATATTCTTTTTCCTTCTGACTTATTTCACTGAGCATAATCCCTTCTTGCTCCACCCATGTTGCTGAGTAGTGGTCCATCTTCTTGATCCAATCATCTTGTTTTTGGGCATTTTGATTGTTCCCAGATTTTACCTCTTGTAAAAAGTGCTGCAATAAACATAAGGACACACAGGTATCCTTTTGAATTAATGTTTTTGGGTCCTTTGGGTAGATCCAACCAGTATGGAAAGCTGTATGGAGATTCCTCAGATTACTAAAAATGGAGCTACCATGTGACTCAGCAAGACTTTTATTTTATACCAGTATTTGTTACTGCCTACTAAAAACCAGCGCAAGAGGCAATTCAATTTAGTATATAGTTAACTTCTTTTTTAGCATCTGGCTTTGGTTAAAGTAATAGAAAATAATTGCCCCTTTTCAGTAACTCCTTTGCAGAAAGACTTAGTCTAAAGCATAATCCTAAAAAAAAAAAAAAATCACCTACCTTCGTTTTTTTGCTGTCATTTGATGGTGTGGAATGTCTTTTGGGTATTGAATGCCGGTAAAATAATGCTCTTCTGGTTTCTTTTGGTTAATGGTTACACTATTGAGAGCTGTGGCCACAGGGCTTCTTATTACGTAAAGAAAAAAACCTGTCTCACTATGCCAGCAGAAACAGTTACTGAATTTTGGTAAGTTGGCAGGTTGTGAGAAAAATTTGAAATAGTCATTAAGGTACTTTTGCATTTTTAGAAAGCAATGAGTAGTTAAACCAAGAAGTTTACTTTTGCATTTTCTCTTACTTTGGCTTTGTGACAGTCACTAATGCCTTTTCTTTTGCATGTGATTATGATGTTATCTGACTTCTATCTAAAACTGCTGCTATTTAGCAGTTTTGAGTGCCCAGGTCACATATTATTCTTGTAAAGGCCATACTATTTTTGTTGCATTGAACCTATAGTGTCAGAGATGCTTTATTTAGAACTGCAAAGGAAACTAGTTTTGAAGACTATAAATGTGATTCAATGTATGGTTGTTATTTGTGAGACTTTCTTTTCTGTCTTCAGTTTGACTTACAAGATTTTGGTTTTATGAACATGTTAGATACACCATGTGTATATCATTATGACTGAAATAAATATAATGTCAAGGGAACATTTTTTGGATTGGAATGATCCATCACTAAATAACTAGAACTACAAAATCTTTAAGTGGCCATTTATTTTCAATATCAATGATACATGCTAAGCTTCTAGGTAGCTGCTGGAGTTAATAGGGGCAAAAACTTCTTCCCCATGTCTTATCCCCTTCAGTCTTGCAACTCAAGTTGCTTGTATTTTGAATCTTTTCTCCATTCACACTGCCCCCCCCCCCGCAACTCTTTTGTATTTCCATTCCTGTATATTTTGGACTTCAATGTAGATTATTTTTTCCCTATCTTCTGGTTTATTGATTCTTTAGTTGTATCTAACATATTATTAAACTCCTTTGTTGATATCTTAATCTAAAAAAATTGTATCTTTTGGTTCCATGTACTCCACACTTTCAAGTATTGTCTGTTGAAATTCTTTGTTTTGGATTCTAATACTTTGTACAATCAGTTACTTTATTTTAGAGTCCTTTTTTTTAATACTATCATTACTTGAATCTACTATGTGTCTATTTCTACTGCCATTTTAAAATCCTGGTTTTCAGTCAGGTCTTGAATGTGTTATTTTTTTGTTTTTACACGTTTTGTATGAAAAATAAGATGATTTTAATTTTTGGTGATGTTATCTTTATGCTTATATTTACTTTTGCTGAATTAAATAAAGATTTCACTAGCATTAGCTAAACTAATGACAGATTCTTAACTAATGTTCAGGTTACCTTAATACAACTCTTGAAAACTGCTCAGCTTTTCAGTTTCTTGGCCTCCAAATAGCTTGAGGGAGAAATTAGTTTAACATTTATTCTCACCTGTTTCTTCTAGATATTAATCATGACATCAATCCTCACCTGTGTAAATCCTCACTGTCTTTTAAAGTCGCCTGGTGATTTTAAACACTACTTTTTTGTCTTTAGTTCTCAGCAGAAGGTTGTCTTGAAGCAGCCAATGTCACTGTCATAGGTTTTTGTCTGGAACTGAAGAATTTTTCATATTACACAAAATACTATGGTGCATTTATTTTATAGGTATAATATCTCTCTTGTAAAATTATGAATATTTTTGTGGCTTACTACAGCACAAATTGTTGTCATAATGGGAATTAGGTACAATGTGATCTATTAGGGAACATGATTTAAAGGAAGCTGACTTAGATTGTTTACAGTGTACTGTGTTGAGGAAACAAAAATAAGCTACAACAAAGCTACTTGTTTGATTGGTTCCCATCAGTGACTAACCATCCTTCAGTTCTACTAGTATTCCCTACTCCATATGTCATGAGACTTTTGCACATTTTCTCTCGGCCTATATACCTAGGTTCTCTGCCTTTATACCTAGGTTTGAATAGGGCAGTTTTTCAGGGAAATATTCCCTGACCCATGAATTTAAATCAGACAGATGAAGTTTAAAATTTTGAATTATACAAGCTTATTTCTGTGATGGTTTGCTTAATATCCTTTTTGGTCCTATAGACTGTTAACTCTGAAATAAAAAAAAAATTTTTCTTGAATACCTAATCCTGTATACCTAGTTAAGTGTTTGAAAATATTGCAAGCAGGTGATTAGATAATACGTTACAAATTTTGTTAGTAGATAAATGTTTGTATGAATGAAGAAGGGAAGCAATGCAAGAAATGGTGGTCATTGTAAGAAATGAAAGTACCCTGGGTTTTGAGCAAAAAGCCAGATTTAAGCAAAAATACAGGATTAGAACTGTAAATTGAAGTTTTATAGATGTACATGCACCATACTAAAAGTTCAGCAAAATCCCCCTGAGAAGTTACTATTTTTCTCCTATCTACCCATAAATGTCATTATGTAAGTTTTGCAAGCATTATGCTTTTGACATGACTCATTCAGATTTATAGCAAATTATATAATTTCATTTTCAGTTACTCTGTTATTGAAATAAAAGAGTTTCGGGATATCAGCAAATACTAATTTTGCTGGTGATTAGGCCCTTGCAAGAAGAGTTTGCAAAAGCAGTTTAGCTACTTCATCATTTCATGCAAAAGCCATCAGAACTTTTTAAAGCTATTTGATCATGTTTAAGAGGAGAGGTTCTCCCTGAGTTCATATCCTAAGTTCTTGTTAACTGATGTTGGACAGGTCTTTTAGTATCTCTGTGCCTCAGTGCCCCTCCTCATAAAATGCAAATGATAATTATAAATAACTCAAAAGATTACAGTTAGAAGTGAATTGGTTCTTATCAGGTACTTTGAAAGGTCCCTGGCACTTAGAAAAATCTATTAGTGTTGGTTCTTGTTGCTGTTATATGCATTCAGAAACTCAGAGGTTATAATTACCAGAACTAGAAACATGAAAATTGTCATGAGATTTTAGAGGTAAAATTGAAAGGTTTCAAATTGTTAACTTTATGTAACCAGAAATTTCAGGTACTGAAATTTTATAGCTGAATTAGCTAAATTTCTATATCTATTATCCTGCATGCAACATAGACCTGAAACTTGCATAATACTAACATGTTTTATAGAATTTAAAATTTTTAAATTTGTATTTTCTTTTAGATTTTACAGCTGTAACCCTTGGACTAGAAGCTGCAATACTGAACTCTATACGATGCATTAGGGTATTGAAGGAAATTAATTTCTGAATTAAGTATTTGGAATATAAGGAAGAAAAGGTGACTAAAAATGGGGCGGAAGAAAATACAGATCACACGCATAATGGATGAAAGGAATCGACAGGTAGGCAAAAGTTTTAATGTATCTGTTTCATTAATGTTAGTATGTATTTTTATTTTTTTAAATATTTATGTATACAGAATTGGGGTATAGGCCAGAGATGCGGTGGGGGGTGAGGGGGTGAGAGGATTTACCAGACACAGAGTGGGGAGCAGAACAGGCTGATTGACAAGTACACAGCTGAGGGGAGCAGCAGGCAGGTTAGGAGAGGTTTGCTATGCCATGTGGTCACCCCCTGCAGGGGGATTGAACTCCTGCTGCAGTAGCTGCCATAGCTTCATAGTGCTTCACTTTAACCTGTTGGCACCACCAGGGAGGGCCCAATATGTATTTTTAAAAGGAACATAGAATGGTTGAGTCTTTCTTAATTTCAGGTTTAAATTTTTTATTTCCAAAACTAAGTGAAAAGTATTAACAGTTACAAATTTTTGGTATTTTTCCCTCTATCTTTACAGAAATTTGTTTTCCCTATTGTTACACACTTCACAAATGTTATAGAAAATATAGCTAGTCAAAAAATGGAAAGTAAAATCATTGCGGTACTGTCACTATTATGTAGATCTAACATTTAGATTATGCTTGCTGGCTTTATATATATATATTGATCATTGTTTTAAATTTTATCTTCTTTTATAATTTAGGTAACACAGTAACTACAGTTATTGAATGTATCCTAGTCAGTGAGTTTTTGCTTAAGCAGCAAATACTGTGATTTTTTAAAACAACTATTATTATAAATTATTATAAAACATTTATGTGTAATACTTAGCTGTAATTAACAAAATACATTGAACTCAATATTTAGTGCTAGTGTCAGTAACCCTTATAAATTTAGGGTTATTATGTTACTGACATATGGAGATCAGAAATTGGAAGAATATAGAGGAGGGTTGGCAAACTGGTCCTTGGGCTGACTGCCTGTTGTTATTTTTTAAATAAAGCTTTATTAGAGTAGGCCATGCTAATTTTTTTATATATAGTTTATAGCTGCTTTTACATTACAACAGTATAGTTGATTAGTTGTCTCAGAAACTGTATTGCCCATAGGTCTAATAAAATCTTTACTCTCTGGCTCTCTTAAGAAAGTTTGTCAACTTGTTGGTTGAGAGAAAATAATTTTATGGATTATTTTACATGAAGTACAGATTAAATGCATGTAGAAAAGAATGATACTCTCCGGGTAGGTTAGATATCAGGAAAAGTTTCCAAAACAATGCTGAAGATCTGTTGTGCAGAGTTTGAGTAGTTCACCTGGTAATACTGATTTAATTGGAGACAAAACTTAACAGAGCACCTGGTAGATAGGTTAGTGGGAATAATGTTTTCTTTTGGTAAATTAATTGAAGAAAATCTTTTGAACAATGACAAATTATTTTACTATATTATGTTACTGCATAAATTGTATGTGAGATTGGCCTGGAATTTTTTTTAGGATTTATTTTATGCATTTAAGAACTGGGGTATAGAGGTGCAGGGGGTAAGAGGATTTACTAGAGACAGAGTGGGGAGCTGAAAAGGGGGATCTACTGAAATACACTGCTGAGAGGAGCAGCAGGTGAGACAGGAGAGGTCTGGTTTGCTGCACCTTGTGGGTCAGCTCCGTGGCTGGGAATCAAACTCAGCTTCAGTAGCTGGGAATGGCTTGATAGTACTGAGACTTTAACCCTTGCCCCACCAGGGAGACCCTGGTCTGGAATTTTTTCCTGCTATAATCCCATTGTGAAGTTACAGCAAGGTGTAGTTCACTTATAAATGAAGTTGGGACATGTTCTCTAGAAAAGCTTGTGTAGTATATGTGTTTCCTTGTGGGTTTTTTTTTTTAGTTGATTGGTCTTGCTGAGAGTTTTATTAACCCTTTCAAAGAATGAACTTTAGTCTTTTATTGTATAGCTGTTTTAAATTTCATTAATTCTGGGTTTTTCTTGATACCGTCTTCCTGCTTTTGGACAGTGGTTCTTTTACATTTCTTCAGATGGAAGTTTAAATCATGGACAGTTCAGCTTTCCTTTTTTCCTTAACAATCTCAAATAAAACTAATTTTTTTCCCTGTAAAGAGAAATGTGAATGTAAGACAGATTGATTAACTCTGTTTCACAAGTTTTAGAAATCTGTCATTTTTCTATTGAAAATATTTTGAAATTTATACTGAAATTTTTTTAATCCATGTATCGTTAGAATATAATGCTTGCTTTCTAAGATAATGGAGATTTTTTTTTGTTATTAAAGTTAATGACTTTTAGCTTGCTTCTGATTGTAGTCATATGAAATGTTGAAACATGTTAAGACCCAGCTTTTGGTCAGTTTGGTTAGGTAATCCCTATGTTTTGAAAATCATGTTGTTGGTTAGTGGTGTGGTATGAGTTAAAGTGGAGTGAATATGAAGTTGGGGTGGGGCCAGAGAGCAAGAGAGTTAGGCTAGGTTAGAAACTGTGTATGTGTACCTGTTTCCAGGAATTGTAAGCTGCTTGCATAAAGATGACAGGGATAGTTGAGTGCATTTATAGGGCATCAGACCCTGGCAAGGATGTTATTGATAGAAGGGTAAAGATCTAATACATGTTTGTAAGAGAGTAGTACATCATGGAATTTAAAGAGGGGAGAAAGGACACAAGAATAGGTAGTAATGAAATGCTGAGTTATGTGGTTTGGAGGACTTGCTTATTAAAAAGTTGAATTCTGAAGAGATAATAAAAAATAGAGCTGAAAAGGAAAAAGTGGAATGCATGAAATTGAGATTTGGAGGTGATTTGACTATAGTTGATGGCAGAGTTAAAGGTGTAACTGGGTAGTTGACTTCTGGTGGTCATTTGGAGGGTGTGGGAGATAAAGGAACTGAGTGGCAAAGGTATTTGCAATTTTTTATGCAGGTGCTAAAGTAAGGAGAGATAAGAATAGGGCTAGAAAGAGAATGCATTTATCAGTCCATGAATGAAAGTGACTGGAATCATTTATTTGGTGTCCACCTCAGATGGGATCATTGTGTAATTCATAATATAATCTTCAGAATATCTGGAGCTTTTGAAGAAGGAAAGAAAAATAATTTGGAAGGGAAGATAGGGAGCCAAAAGGAGATATCTCCACACCCCTGAGTATAGGGATTATGATATTTAAAAAAAAACAAGAGTTGGCCTGCAATTGAGAGGACATCAGATTACAAGTTTCATTTAGAGAAATATTGAGAGGAGAATTTGGGGATGTTATGGGATTTTTTGATTATAGACAGAATTACAGTGAGTGCAGTAGGAGGGCCTTGGAAGGGTGACAGACACGAGTTAGATTAGTGGATGTATTTAGTTGTTCAAGGATTAAAGTTTGACTATGAGTTACTTGGGAGTGGGACTTGTGGTTTCTAATGATAACTTTAAGATAGATGATAATACTGATCAGATGTCTCCTTTGCAGTAGAGTGCAGTCAAGGATAAAGGAATACCTCCTAAAGATTTTGAGGAGAAAGATGCTCACCTGCAGCATGAAACTGGGCATTATTTCTGCTTTTGAAACCTGGCTCAATAGTGAAAAGAGTTTATTTTCCAGTAAACTACATTCAAGTACTATTCATGCTTTTAATAAAAAATACACCTTTTTTTCTTGGATTGTCTAGGTCACTTTTACAAAGAGAAAGTTTGGATTGATGAAGAAAGCCTATGAACTTAGTGTGCTCTGTGACTGTGAAATAGCACTCATCATTTTCAACAGCTCTAACAAACTGTTTCAGTATGCCAGCACTGATATGGACAAAGTTCTTCTCAAGTACACAGAATATAATGAACCTCATGAAAGCAGAACCAACTCGGATATTGTTGAGGTAACGCATATATTTAGTAATGCTGGAACTACAAACAATAATTAATTCTTCCATTTGACAATTTTAACTGCAGGATGCATTTTACATACAAAGTAGAAATCAATTATAGATGTTTTTCCTATAAGTCATTACATGGAAGGATCTGGTTATCGTTATATTATAATGTGTCCACTTACATTATAAACATTCTTTTCACACACACAAAACAAACTAGACTATGGTACCATGTATACCAGTAAAATCTAACATTTCATCTATGTATTTTGTATCAGTTTTTAAAAGTAAGATTGTAAGGAACTATCATTTTGTGCAGAAGTTAGTTTTGATGAGTTAATCATTTCATTATGTCACTGACTACAACTTGGAACATTAATGAAATGGAAGAAAATGATGTAAATAGTATTTAAGTTGTATTAATAGTGCTTTTGTACTGAGGTGAGGATTTATTTTCTCTTTTCAATCTTCTGCCTTTTGCTCACAGTTCTGCCAACCTAATTAGAAGTTAAAATAAGGATAAGGAAATATTTAGAGCAGATTCATCTATGTAGAAATAGTGTTTTAAAATATAATCTTCAGAACGGAAAACCAGGGCTTACAGATAAAGTCTCAGCACTATTACCACTATAGCCTGAGTTTTGTCCCTGCCAGGGAGCTGACCCACCAGACACAGCAGGCCTTTCCTGTTTCGCTTCTGCTCCTCTCAGCAGTGGATTTCAGTTGGTCTGTCTGTTCTGCTCGCCACTGTTTCTGACAAATCCTTTCACACACACCCCACCCCTGCATCTCTGGCCTACACCCCAGTTCTTCTGTGCAAAAATAAAAATATTTCAAAAAGGAAAGCCAGTATACTTTCCATTTTAATTTTCTTGGTACAAAATCATATAAAGACTTCAGCATCTATATCTAAATAGCATTTTAACTAGGTTTATATTTGTCTTTTGGTATTTAGTGTTGTAAAACAGGAATTTTTGACTTAGTTTTCTAACATCAGAAACTTTAGGGTATTAGGGCTTTCTTGGTGAAAGTACTAATGCCATGTGAAATGGTCTCATTTCACATAGCTGTGCTAATGTTGAGAGAAGAAATAAAGTTTCGTGCAGGTTCTATTGATGTAATTGAGATTAAGATCTAGAAAAAGATAGTTAGACTTATTGTGTTTAATAATACATGGATTGTTAATAGTTAGGAACATTCATTGAAAATTTCCCCTATATTTCTTTGCCTTAAAGAGAGCTATACATTCCTTTTTGGACAATAATTGATTTAGATAGTTACTATAGAATTTTTGATACTTATTTTAAAAAACTTGTTACCTTCTAGCAATTTGTTTGAAATGTGAAGTGAAAGAATAGCACAGTTATAGCTATGCTCCTCTCTGTTACTTAATTTGCCTGCAGTTGTAATTAAAGGGCCTCACTATTGTGAACCTCCCCCGGAATGTACTTGAAGGTTTTGATGTGACATTTTTTTTTTTAATTTCAGTAAAATCACATGTTTACATCTTTAGCCAAATCCTTTCACCCAGTTATGTTTATATCATTTGTAAATTATTTTATATTATTTAGCATTTATCACTTGCATATAACATTCATCTTAATGCATTTTTTCTCATACTCTTGTAAGTTAGGAGATCATCATAAAACATTTCATAATAGTAGTTCCTTGAAATGGAGAGTACTAGTATGTTTAAAATGACATGTTATTTTAAAAATGTTCTTTTCGAAAGTCCCACTGCTTTAAGTTAAACAAAGAATTGTAGCTGACTTTGCTACTATCATCAAGTAGACACTCTGCTGGCTTCATGAGAACAGGCAGCCACCTTTTTAGCCCTGCTAACTGCTTTGCTCGTTTATTGCAGCAGTTGTTTTTAGTCTCTGGAAGTTGATTGAGGGTACTTCACACAGACTAAGGCTTTCTTCCTTAGAGAATACCAAGAATATAGTCTGATTTAATACTCAGAATTTTCAAACTACTTCATTCTTCATTCTTTTGTTGTGATCAGCTATCAAAGTGTAAGAGAGTAAATCCTAAACATTTTTAAAGCCTATTTCCCTATATAAAAATCTGCTTCAATAAGGGGAAATTTTCATAGCTCTACTATCATTTGGATGTTTTCTTTTTCGTTAAATTTATTAGATATAAGTGAATATGATTCTGACAAAAGTTTTCAATTATAGAAGTATACTGGATAAACGATGTATTGGACTGTAAGGAGTTACTTTGTTGTGATGTAGGATATATGATAAGTACTAAGATTTAATAAACTTTTTTTTGGTGTTAAAGTCTTAATGGGTTAACCATCACAGTAGGAAAATGTTGAGTCACTTGTAAGATAGGTTTTTTCCCCACATATAAAATAGGTGATGGTAATTACACCCTCACTATTTGTTCTTACATTTTTGAATTCTCTTTACCAGAGACTTAATGACTTACTGAATTATACTAATGCAGCTACAAAGATTGTTGTGAACCAAAATTTACAGGAAACACTAATGATAAGTACTCACATAGAACTTATTTTGGGCCAGAACTTTTTTTTTTTAATGATTTATTTGTGCATACAGAACTGTGGTACAGGCCAGAGGTACAGGGGTGATGAGAGGATTCACCAGA